ACTTGCAAGAGTCCACTTCCGTCTCCTGAACTTCAAAATGTCTTGGTTATTCTTGCTCTTCCTTATAAATTTTAGAATCACTTTGTCAAGTTGAAAAAGTGTTTTGAGACTTTTACTGAAATTTCACTGAATTTTATAAATTAGTATCAAAAAGGATTACAGCAGGTGGTTTCAAGAAGGCTTTAGGAAGACTAAGATTCAAATGATAATTAAATTTTGAGAAATAAGATTTAGAGTTCTCTATTTTGTTGCCTTCTTTTTTCACTGCTATAAATTCTTTCTTTGTAGTAGGAAACGCGTTTAAGATAAAGTAGCTGGCTTTGCAGCCTGCATAAGTCATTGAGATCTATTATTCAGAGCTAGTGGAGTGGTAAAAAGAGCTCCTAATTTTCCATTCATGGCACCAGTTGCCACAGGACTTAACTTTCTTTATTATCTTTAGCTCCAACTTCTCTCTCAATTAGTTTCCCAGATTGTCATTCTATAGTACAGTTTTCTAGGTGCTATTAATAGCTGCATCTGGGAAAGAAAGTTATAAATTCAAATAAAATTTTTAAATCCTGTATAGTAAATCTCTCACTTAGAGTTTTATAATGTACTTTAGTATATCAAAGACTCTTTATGGAATCACAGTAAAGAAATATCTCTAATTTTGTTTTAATTCACCATTTCACAAACTTTTTTTGCGCATGAATGTTTATATCTTGCATACTGATTAATATCCTACAGAAGAATGTTCCATGGAACATCAATTTGGGAAATGGTATACTTAAACTAACAAGGAAAGGACAAGAAAAATTCAGATATTTCTGACTTCCACATTGGTCAATAAGCAATAAGCAAAATTTTTAAAAATGCCAATATCAGAACAAACTAATAAAAAAGCACCCAGCAAGACTTTTAAAAATGCTTACACATCATATTTTAGCTTGAGGGTCATAGCATTGGCCTATACCAGATAAAAACTTTTCCTTTAACTTGACAAAAGTTATACTTTCCTTCTTATTTCAGCACTGAAATGAAAGAACAGGCAGACATCCCAGATTTATTGCTCTCTCAGTGTGAAAGCTACAAGAGTGTCTGGTCTTATAAAAACACAAACAAAAGAAATGCATTTCTCTTATCCTTGCTGGGCTTTGAGCCCATCATTCCGGCTGCTGAGTGGCCTAAAGAGAACCAACAAACATACCAAAATTAAGTGACTTTGTTTACATTTTCTTCTTTCTGCTCTGTTGGTGCAGCAGGTATTAATCTGCTTGATGTACTGCTGGCCTGGTGGGGTAGCCCTCCTCAGCTGAGGATGGCAGGGGAAGAACAGGTCACTGCCAATCTCGGCAGACACCCAGAGAGAAAACAATGGCCTTTTCTGGAAAAACATCTCTCCCTTTTTATAAGGCATTACTTCTTGCTGTTGCTGTAACAAACACATTTAATAACAGCCTTGGGCAAGCTTTTGAGAATCGGGTTCTTCCCAATTTGCAAGGGAAAAAAATGCTGGCGTTTCCCTTTCTCTCTTGGAACTACACTTGGCATTTATTCAACAAACATTTATTTATTAGGTGCTTATTGCAGACCAGGAGCTACACCAAGTGCTAAGGTTACCAAGATTTTAGTATAGCCTTTGAGAATCTGACAGTATAAACAAGAAGTTAAAGAATAAACTATTTTCTGAATACCCTCAAGCATTTCCTGAAGTAGAACTATGAAGACTTGGATCCTGACTTTATAGAGTAAATAGGCTCTTGGAGACTGGGAGCATTAAATCCACAACAGTGGGTGCTTCGTGCTCCATGAAGCTGGAGACTTTTTCTTGTTTTCTATTGTATTTTGGGCCTGGCTTGGGGTCTCTCAACAAATATTTATCAGCTATTGAATGTGCAAAGGGCGGGAGCCATGCATGAATCTTTTTTAATTTTATTCCAGCATGAGCGTGTCTGGCTTTTCCTTGACAGTATTCCCTCGCAGAGTGGTCCATTCCATCTTTGACCAGCTAAGTCAAGAAATCTTCCCTCATACTGTGCAGAAATCCACCCACCTCATGTTCCACCTACAGATTCACATTCTGCCCTCTGAGACTCCATGGAATATTCAGTACAGTTTTCTCCACTGCTACTTTTTAACTTGAAATTTTCAAGTCTATAGAAAAGATGAAGGAACAGTACAACTAACACACATACACTTTTCATCTATTCACCAATGATTACTATTTTCCCATATTTGCTCTGTTTTATCTCTTGCTTTTTTTTCTCCTCATGAATCATTTGAGAGTATGTTGCAAACATAAGATTACGTCACACCTAATAGTTCAGCATATATACCTAAGAATAAAGACACTCTCCCACATAACAGCATTCCTATTATACATCTAAAAAAGTAATATTAATAAAATATTATCTATAGTAAAATTCATATTTTAGTTATCCCCAAAGTATTTAGTTTTAAATTTGGATTTGAAAATTCCAGATTAAAAAGAATTTCAGTCTCTTTTAATCTAGAATATTTTTCTAGCCTTTGTGTATTCTTCATAACATTAGAGTTTATTGCCAGGACTACTACTACACAAGTGATCTCCACATGCACTGCTAATGCATCACTTGGAGGCACGTACTATTGGGTTGTCTCATTTATGATAATATATTAGTTGACCACTTGATTAAGAATGTGATGACCAGATCTCTTCATTGAAATAGTACATTTTCCTCTTTGTAATTAAAAACTGAATAACACATTTTAAGGTGGTATAAATATCTATTCCTCCAACAACTTTTTATCCAAGTTTTAGGAGTCACTGATGATCCTCGTTGTCTGAATCAACCATTACAAAATTATGATTTTCTAATTCTATGATTTCTTCTAAAAATTTCTTGATCCCTGTGTCTTCTTAGAGAGGAACACAGTATTTATGAGGAATAATTTTGCTGGACTCTTCTACATGCCAGCCCTCCAAATGTTTGAAGCCAGTTATTTCTGTCTCATACGCCTCCCAAACTTCGACACCTAAGCTAAATTTACCCTATTCCTTACATAGTCTTCTTGTGACTTAGCTTTTATTTCTACCTCACTCTTCGCTTTCATATTTCCTGTCTCAGCTCAGCTGCTGTCTTCTATTCCAGCAGACCCCAGCCTGGCTATACATCAGAATCACTGGGGGACTTCTTTTATATATAGAGTCTCAGGATCCATTCACTCCATTCTTAATGAATGAGAATCTCTGGGGTGGAGTATGGGACTCTGTATTTTTGTTTTTGTTTTTTTTAAGTTCTCCAAGTGATATCAACCACTGTATACTTTGATTTTTCAAGGCCTTGTGAACCCAGAATTGAATACCATATCAAAAGTGTAGTCTAGAGCTATTACTTTTCTTATACTGGACACTATAGGTCTTTCAAGATAATTACATCAATGCTGACATTTTGGAGGAGGTGGAGGCAATGGCATAAAAATTTTGATTCAAGATAAATTTATGAAGAATTAAAATTTCAAGACTTCTTCAAAAAGACTGTTAAGTCACATCTACCCCATTTCTTTATGTTTCATTGGTCTTTCAGATCTAAGTGTAAGGATTTATACTTGTTCCAGTTAAAACTTATACTGCTTCAGTATATCAAACATTTTATGGATCCTGATTGTTTCATCCCAAGTATTTTTTTACCCTTCCAACTTTGTCATTCACTCTCTTTTACATTGTCTTTTTTTCCTATTATTATTTTTTTAAGTGTTAAAAACATCAGTCTCACAAACTTTTCTATAATTTTGTTGGTAGTCACATAACTATGTTTGTCAAAACTCATAGAAGCATATACCAAAAAGAGTGAATTTTAATGTATGTGAATTATACCTAAAAAAAAAAAAAAAAATCAGTCCTGTGTTCCAAATAGCTATATTTTTCTCCCAGATTAGGTCTCACTAACGTATTTTTGATTGACAATTTCTGTAAAATCTGTTGTTATTCTAAGTAATAGAGTTTTCATAATTTTGTATTTTTATTCATTTGAGGTCAATGCATTCTAGGGTTTGATACCTTGCAAAAGCATCAAGGTTTGGTTTACCAGGCCAGTCAATCCAATGAATGCATTATCATCATTTTTATCAGTTCCCACAACACCAAATGCAAAGAAAAAGTAATGGAATGCAGAATAAGGAGAAAATAAGATTAGAAAAATAACAATCCTTCACAGAACTGGATTAAAAACATTGAATTGTTGACTAGGAGTGCAAGTTAGACAATTTTCTACCTAGAAGTTTAACAAGGATTTTTGAAAAATACTCTTCAGTGCTAGTAAAGATCTTGTGAAATACACTCTCAGATAGTGTGGGTAAGAGGTTTAAGTGATATAACCTTCTTGGCCATATGAAATTATCTAATAAGAACTTAAAGAATTCAATTGGAATATATATATATTATTAAAAAATCCACAGGTATTACACCAAATTTTTAGCAGAAGCCACCATCTCCAGCTAATGAAAGACAAGCTGTTTTGTTTTGTTTTTCAATGCTTTGTATTTTTAAAAATATTTTTAAAAATTTCTACAATGTGCCTATGTTAGTTTTATGATTAGGAAAAAAGCAATATGTACTTATAAGAATAGTGGTTTAAAAAGAGGGAAGAAAATAAACCACAAAAGAGAGGAAATAGGGAATAGGGATAAAATTCTATTTTTCTCTTTTATAGTTAGCATTATTTTTATTTTAAACTTCCTTACACATGCAGGTCTTTCTTTTAGAATGTTTACCATGCCCAACAATAAAAATAATTTTTAAAAAAGATTTACCTGTCAATCTTAAAAATTATCAAAATAAAATATATCTTCCAGGTAATCAATAATATTGTAAAGAATTTTTGTTCAGAGAATGAATAATAATATTATGAAGCTTCTTTCAATACCACAGAAGATTCAAATATCCAGTAACTCTAAAAAGGAAAACGTGCATTGCCTCCAAACAGTATTTTTTAAATGAGAAGCATTATACATAATTATTAAATGCTATAAATTCATACCTTGAAGAACGATGCTCTGGTTTATTTCGTTCGTTGCGATCTGTAAAAAAAGACGACAATTATGTGTCAAAATGCTCTTTAGAAGCCCTGAAAAGTCCTTAAATACCAGCTGCCATACCATGAGACTTCACAAGGACTACTCAAAGGTTGCTGTGTCTTCTCCTGTATAAGGCTCTTCGTCAGAGTTGAGAGGGTTTGCCTGACAGAAGAGGTAGAAAGGATTTAAAGAGGACAGGCATATACAATGCTTATGGCTGGTTAAAATAATCTACTTGGAAAATATATCATTACATATACTATTTCTTTTTCAAAGATCTATGCTGTTTTAAACACTCTGCTAAAACCAAAACAAAGTTAGCTAAGGAAAGAAAAGTAAGGAAACTGAAAAGCCACAAATTACTCAGCTCCAAAAAATCATTCCATGAATCATGGTTGGCAAAAGCTTCTAACAGGATTGGGAGGGGAAAAAAATGAGCAGTCAGCTACAGCAACATCTGCAAATACACTAAGACCAGTACAATCTCATCTTTAACTCTCTATCACCCAGAACATTTCAGAAGTTGGATTTAAAAGTTTCAAAGATAATTAAGTCTCATGTGCTATAATATAAGGCAGTGTGGTTTTCGACCAGGGGTAATTTTGCAAGCCCTCCCCTGGAGAACATT